CAAATGAAGCATGCGTAGAAGAAGAGCGAGTTCTTTCAGCGCTGAAAATGATTCCAGGGTTCGAATCCTTTCCACGTCTGTCTTTACATCCCCTTCGCTTGTTTGAATGTACGCCAGGCGAAATTGCCGCAAGTTTGTTGGCTTCTTTGCGCTGTTACAAAAGGCTTCTGCCATTTCGACTAGCACTCTCAACTTTGAGTCGTCTTCTTGCGATAGAATGTCCTCCCAGACCTGATCCAGCTCGGCCTGGTGCTTCACTGCAGACTTGCGGGAGCAAGTCCTGAGGTACTCACGGATTGCCATCAGGACAAGGAAGAAGAGCAGGGCGACCAGTCTGACGTATGCTCCGCTTGATCTCAGCGCAACCTGCATCCCAAACAGAATCGCCGATGACACCGCCCCAAGCTCCAACACCAGGCACTCGTGAATCATCAGAGGGCAAGGGAAGAGCAGCAGGATCTGGAGCAAACAGACTCAGAAGAAGGAGAGGAAGAGACGAGAAGAACCGTGAGGCTCTCGATCAGCGGAGGAGGAGGAGGAGGAGGAGGAGGAGGAGGAGGAGGAGGAGGAGGAGGAGGAGGAGAGGAGATTTTACCATAACTGTTCATGGTCAATATGATAGAAGGGCAGTATAGTTTGCACATTCATCATCTTTCATCCTGATTTTCTCAACCTCTAAATCCGGATTTGTTCACATTTCCTCTCTCTCTCCTCTCTTCACAACCTCCAAGAATTTGCCAAACACCTTGTTCCTTCTTTGCTTCACTCCAGTGCTCTCTGACTTGTACTCTTCAGTTCTCAGATGCACTGATTCCCCAGCCATGACTAGCCCTCCGTCTGACCGCTGGCAGCGATCGCCGCTGAGCGACTCTCCCCTCTCCTCCCCCCGCGAGGATGAAACCACAGGTAACCTGAGAAAGGAAAGGATCAAGTACAGGAGGTCTAAACCTCCGAGGAACCATGCGCTGAGGAAAGATGGTGAAGGAGAGGACGGAGCTGAAGCGCAGAGACCAGGAGCTGAGGATCCCAGAGCAAGAGAGTCGCTGCAGGAGGCGCAGCCAGTCCCCGAGCACGAGTCTCCTGCTCCCCGCAGCAGCACTGGAGTCCTGGCGCTCAACCTGACTGCCATCCGACCTGAGCATCGAGCCGTCACTCTCAACAGCCGCGAGTCCCTCGGGAGCCCTCGGGAGCCGCAGCAGGAGGGGCAACCGCGTCCTCCTAAGACTCCCCGCACTGAGCATACGAGCAGCAGGCAGGAGCGGGAGGGCGAAGGCACAGGACCCGGGGAGAGCAGGTTGTCAGGGATGCAGGAGAGGAGTCGGGCAAGCAGGAGGAGTCAACTGACGTTGACACCAAGGAGCGTCGACACGCCCCGCTCGGGGATCTCCTTCGAAGCTGGATGGAACCTGGAGAAGTGGAAGGCGGAGGCGCTTTGGCTGCGGGAGCAGGTGGAAATGCTGGAGGAGAAAGCAAGGGGGGAGGGAGGAGAAGCGAGCGAGCGGGAGGAAATGCAGAAGCTTCGGCGCGAACTTGCGGAAAGCCAGCAGAAGATGGCGGAGGCAAGCAAGAGGATCTTGAGCTACGAGCGACAGGCAGCGTCTTGGCAGGCAGAGAAAGTCACGCTGCAGCAGGATGTGGTCGGGTGGAAGCAGGCGATCAGCAGCCTGAACATGGAGGCGAAGGCAGAGATCCTCTCGCTGCAGGAGAAGATCGCGAGGGAGAAGGTCGAGAACGCGCGGCTGACGCGAGAGCTCCGAGCGATGCAGGCCAACGGCAACAGCCGAGCTGGCGACAAACAGGTACCCAACAGCGCGAAGAGAGTAGCCAAGGACGAGGACGAGGACGAGGACGAGGAGGTTGGTCAGCTGACCCGCTCCCTTGCAAACGTCCTGAAGCTGCCGGTGGTGACGAAAGTTGTTAAGGGTCTGAAGGGCAGGAAGCAGGAGGAGGAAGATGAGGAGGGGGAGGAGGAAGGACGGCAGGGGAGGAAAAGCCCCATGAGCGAACTGAGGAGGACGGTATCCGAAGTCTCCTCGGCGATGCTTCAGGTTTCCGCCGCGTCGGAGAGAAGTGACTCTCTGCAGCAGAAGGTCTTGAAGTCAGTGGATGAGCTGGAGGAGAAACTCGCCCTCTCCGAGTCTCATTGCTCCCAGCTGCAGTCCCAGCTGCAGGCCACACTGACAACCCTCGAGAGCTCACGGTCGTACGAGGGGGTGATGGAGAGGAAGCTGCTGGAGGAGGAGCGGGAGAAGGAGAGGATGAAGGAGGCGATGGCGGCGCTAGAGGAGGAGGTGAAAGAGTCGAAGAGAATCTTTGAGCAAGTGAGCGCAGAGCACGGGACGAGCATCAGGCTGCTGGAGGAGAAGCAGAAGGAGGAGCTGAGGGCGGCGATCGAGAAGGAGAGGAGAGCATGCGAGCTGGCGATCAGTTCATTGCGAGCCGAGCACGGCAAGGCGCTGATGATGGCGACCTACAGCCTGCAGGAGAAGGACGCGCTTCTGCGAGGGAGGGAGGAGGAGATGGCGAGATCGCACCATGAGGAGATCCAGAGCCTGAAGAGGACGGAGGAGGAGGAGAGGAGGAGGATGGAGAAGGAGCATAAGGCTGAGCTTGAGGAGAGGGAGGAGCGCGTGCGGGAGCTGCTCCTGCTGCACCAGGAGGAGCTTACGAGGGTGCAGGCAGAACACGACGAGCGTACAGAGGCTCTTCAACGGAGGCTCCGAGCATCCGCCGAGCACTCGCAGAGAGTGGACGCAGATCTCAGCAGGTCTGAAGCTGAGAGGAAAGAGGTGAGAAATAGTTTGCGGGGTCCTCGCCAGCCCACCCTCCCCTTCTCCACCTCCTATGACCTTGTCTGACGGGTGGTTTGCAGCTTGGCGACGCGCTGATGAGCTCCAGCTCGGCACTGCGGGCCCTGGCTGACGAGTCGGAGAGGAGGAAGGAGTTGGAGGCGGAGCTGGAGGAGAGCAGGAGGATGTGCGAGGAGTGGAAGAGACTGCTGGAGGAGAAGTCGGCAGTGTGCGAGCAGGTCAGTCAGATGGAGGAGAAGGCTACGCAGAGCCTCGGGATCCTCCGCTCTCAGTGGGACGAGAGTGCGAGGAGGAGGGAGGAGGAGGCTGAGAAGGTGGAGGAGCTGGAGCAGGAGGCGGCCTCCATGGCGCTGCTTCTGACATCGCTGAAGTCTCATGTCGACTCGCTGGTTCTGAAGGCGCAGGAGGAGAAGAAGTCGTGGGGGAGAGAGAGGAGGAGCGCGGAGGAGGAGAGGATGGAGAGGGAGGAGGAGACGAGAGTGCTGGAAGGGAGGCTAAGGGAAGCCAGGCGTCACGGACAGGAGGCGGAGGAGCGGGTCAAGGAGCTCAAGGAGGAAAAGGAGGAGCTGAAGCTGCGCTTGACCGAGAAGGAGAGCAGGATTCGCTCGCTGCAGCAAGTGATCCTGAGCCACGAGCAGCAGCATGAAGAGAGAGTGCGGGAGCTGCAGACGACCAGGAGGGAACTCAACGAGTCACATGATGGGCTGAGGGGTGCGGAGATGGCGAACAAGATCCTGCAAGGAGCTGCAGACGCGCTCCAGCAGAAGCTGCGGGTGGTGGAGGAGCGGCAGTGGGAGGAAGGGAGGAGGAGCGTGGAGGCGGCCAGGGAGCTAGCGGGAGTGAACGCCTCCCTGGCACGAGCTTGCTCCATGCTTGCTATGAGTGAGGAGATGATGAGGCGGCTGTGCGGGGGGATGGAGGAGCTTTCGTCTCGGCACATCTTCTTCATGCAGGAAGCAGCCGCGCGGCATATCGCACTGAGGGAAGAGGTCAAGAGGGAGGAGGAGGAGAGGCAGAGGAGCCGTCGGCGGGAGGAGGAGCTCGCGGAGAAGCTGCGGATAGAGGAGGAGAGGACGAGGGCAACACAGGACAAACTACGGAGGCTACAGAAGGAAGCGGAGGGAAGGGAGAGGGAATGGATGACAGAGCTGCATGCCATGAGGGAAGAGATCGCAAGCAAGGAGGAAGAGCTGCGGGCGATGGAGGAGGAGGTGGTTGAACTCAAGGCCGGAAAGCTGGAAGGAGAGCGAGAGAGGATGACGTTGCGCAAGCTCTTACAGGAGTACGCGGCAGGACGGGAGGAGCTCGAGGAGGAGGTGGAGAGGAAGAAAGCGCACGCGGAGGTGCTCCTACACCTGAGCAGGAGGAACCAGCCAAGCACGAGCGGCGGGAGGATGGAAAGAAGCATCGGCAGGGCGCTGGTGCAGGCGGGGAAGGAGAAGGAGAAGTTGGACCCCTCTCGCAGCTCTCGCTCCAGCCTCTCCACCCCCGAGACGAGGAGGAGCTTGACGGCCGAGTCCCCGTTCGGGAGGAGGGGGCAGGAGCAGCGAGGGGAGAGGAAGAGGGAGCATGGAGAACTACACAGGAGGAGCACCGAGGGCGCGAAGAGGAGGGAGGAGGGAGGAGAGGAGAAGAGCGAGAGGAGGGTAGAGCTCGAGACGCTCCTCAACTTCGCCAGAGGCGTCGAGGCCCTGCAGCACCTTGCGAACTTGAAGGAATGAAGGATGCCTCCTCGTACTATGATCCTCCTCCTCACCCCCTGCCTCCTCGCCCCCCCTTCTCGTCCTCCTCCCTCCCCTCCACTCGTCCTCCTCCCCCCCTGCAACTCCTACAGTTCTGTGCTGCGGTACTTGAAGATGTACTACCGAGCTTCAGTCCTCCTCCCTCCCCCCATCATCGCAGACTCAACAGCATGACGCTAGGCTCCTGCAGGATCTCCTTGAACCGGTTGGAGAACCGGGCGATGCTCGCTCCGGCGAGGATGCGATGATCTGCCGCCCAGCTGATGCGGATGATCTGAATCGAAACCAGGTGAGAGGTAAGGAGGAAGGCGGGAGCTGAGGAGGCCAAAGTGGAAGCAGAGGAGGGAGAGTACAGAATGGAAGGGACGGAAGGAGGAAGAGGAGGACGGGAGAGAGGGGGAGTGGGTCTGGGGTATTCACCGTCCTCTCCTTCAAAGTTCCATCTTTGATGTAGGGCTGCTTCTCTATCTTTCCGATGGCTAACAAGCACCAGTGAGTTCACATTTTCATCGTCGTCGTCCTCCTCCTCCTCCTCCTCCTCCTCTTTGTCCTCCTCCTCCTCCTCCTCTTTGTCCTCCTCCTCCTTTCTGTCCTCATTCTCCTCCTCCTCCAATTGCACTTCCTCGTTCTCATCGTTCTCTCCTCCTCGTTCCCCTCCTCCTCTCCCTCTCACCTCCTATCACAGCTTCCCCCGGATTGAGGATGGGTGAAGTGTACGTCCCTCCGATAGTGCCGATGTTGCTCAAGGTGATGGTTCCTCCCGAGATGTCTTCTTTGCTCAGCTTGTTGGCCCTTGCCTGCTCAACACAATTACAGAGGACATGTGCGAGGCTGGAAGGATGTGGATGTCGAATAGTTGATATCGACAAACATGTCAGGAAAGGGAGTTGGGAGGACAACGACGGTCTGGCACGTCATCAACAGTATGCAACAGATGCGGGAGCACCAGGTTTGTCAGTCTTGCAAGCTCTTCGGCGATCTGTGAGAATGTGCAATCCTGTCAGGAAGAATATAGAGGGAAGAACGCATGATCTTACCTGAACGATGGAAAGCTCTTGTACATTCTTGATGTTGGGAACAACCTGCACCATCTCCTCACAACCTCGTTTTGCTCGCATGCAGAACGCTCTACCAATCCTGACGGGGAGTCGACTGCGATGCCAACATTGTGACGTTTTCTGTGGATGATGTTGTTGAGGTCTGCTGAAAGACTTGAGTTGATCTGCAATCATACTCATCTCAATCTTCTCGTCAGATCGTTCTAGGTAAGACCTCGGGAAACTCCAGCAGCGCTTGAGAGAGAGATTTGATCAGGAACGGCATGTATGTCAGCTTGACTCCGTTCAGACTTTTCTGCTCGGAGAAAGAACAAAATCAGAGGACTACCAAGTTGCACATCTAGATCAACAGCTGTCTTTCAACATGTCAGAGATGCAATCATCGCACAGCACACATCTGAGCCAAGAGCCAAGTGACCTCTCTTGCCAAGAGCGCTTTGAGCTCCACCAAACGATCTATCTCATAATCCTCGCTGAATCCGAAGTGAGGGATGGAGGACTGAGCCTGTTGATCACCACCGTGAGAGACAACATCCATCGCCGTGGCGCAAGCCAAGAGGCTTCCGCAGCATCAGGGCATGCCGACGTACTTGCATCGTCTTGATCATGGCGCGAGTGTACCCTCGGATCGGAATATGCACATCCTCCAAAGAGCGAGTTTCCGCCGCCTGGACGGCAGACATCCATCAGTCAACCCGCCCGGCTCCTTCGTTCGCGCTGGTTACCTTGCTAGCAGACTGCACCTCCTCCCGCTGGTCGGGCTCTGACTTGTGCTGATCGGCTTGCAGGGCGAGAGTCTGAGAGGGCACCTCCTCGAGGACGGGTGACTTGCCCACATACCTTAACAAATCCTCCTGCATCGACGCTCCTCTCTCAGAACATGAAGGAGGAGCAGACGAAGAGGAAGAGAGCTGGGGAGAGCAAGCTCAGCATGCTACCTTCATGATCCTGCCTCCTCGTCCTGACCCCTGCACACTCTTCAGGTCGATTCCGTTGGTCTTCGCGATCGCCCGGACGGCTGGAGTAGCCAGCGGCTTCAGTGGAGCACCCGATGGGTCTGAGTCGCGGGGAGAGGAGGGATCATGGGACGCCACTGCAGGCGCCCCTTCCTCTCCTGCTGCTGAAGTCTCGATCGCTTCTGCATCGTCCTCGTCCACCGAAAGGCCCCCAGATCCTTTTTGTCGAATGTCCAGCAAAGGTTTGCCGACATGCGCTACATCGCCTACCTTGTAGTGCAGCTTCGCGATGACACCGTCGTACCTGCTCGGGATCTCCACCGTCGCCTTGTCACTTTGAACTTCACAGACTGGATCGAACGCCTTGACCTCGTCGCCGACCTTCACAAACCATTGAAGAACCTCCGCCTCTGAGATGGAAGGATTTCAGTCCAACACACGCTCCCTTCACTTCAACTGCTAACACTCTACCTGTTATGCCTTCCCCGATGTCTGCAAGTTTGAATGGGACGATCTTTCCCGTGGACTGCGTTTGATTTGCAAACCCCCTCAACCCCCCACGCTTCATTGCAAAGTTCAAGCTTCTAGTGCGAGCCTTTACACCTCGGTGTGCGAACGAATGTAGCTTGGCGGTGTTGCCTGCCATCATAAGTCCATTTCTAATCACACTGTACAAGGAAAGTCGGTGTCTGAGCATAATCTAATTCTTCAAGTCTTCGTCCTCTGGAATTGATCAAGCAGGTTTTGGATTCGTTTCCTGTCAACAGCAGCAAGTCAGCCATAAACCAAACAACATTTCTCTCTCTCATCTGTTTTTGATTTGTCCTTTGTCGCATCTTTTCTGTTCTACTGATCCTCCAAGACAATACATTCGTTCTTTCATTGACCCTTTTCTTTCCCCGTGCTTTACTTTTCGTTGCTAACTTCGTGGTCAGGTTTGGATATCTCTCCCTCCCTCCAATCATGCTTCCCTCTGCACTCGCTGACATTCGTCTATCTTCATGCTCTATCCTCTATGCTCCATCCTCTATCCTCTATCCTCTGTGCTCGTCTCCTTGCTCCTCTCTGTTTCATCTCCCCTGTCCATTGTTCCGATCAGTTTTCTTTGTTGCATGTTGCGGCCGACACCTGACCCCTACCCCAACAAGAAACATCCCCACCCTGTCTCCTTCCACATGTTCATTATACACTTATTTTTTCTTTGAAATTTCAAATATTATACACAAACAGTATGTTGATTTTTTTAAAATTAGTGTAAAATTGATCAGTACCCCTGCAATTATGGCTACTACCCCTCGATCTAGCCTCCCGCAACAAACTGACTGACGTACTGATTTTTAACTTAACTTTGAGTAAAGACCGTACTTTTGCCGCGCCAACTCAGTTCCGTTGCGCGGCCCGCCGGGCAGCAGTGACTGGGGCCCGTCGGCCGGGCGGCCGGGCGGCGCGCCGGCGAGCAGCGGCCGGGCCGCCATCCGATCACGTAGGGTCGTCCGAAGTTGGTTTACAGAAGAGTTTTGTGACTCTGTAATACAGTCAGGTCTTTACTCAAAGTTAAGTTAATGTAAGAACTCAGGTTCTGACAAACCTCTCAGAAGTTCTTTCAGACGCGATAAGTTCAAGGGATGCGTCTAATCAGGTTGTGAACCATGTGAAGCCTGCAGGTCCAAGCTAGTGGGCTGGAGCTTAGTCTGTGACTTAGAAGATCCGGTTGGTTGGAGCCTGGGGAAGCTGAGGCGGCGCCGGAGGAATCAAGAGGCGCCGGCTGTCGAAGAGGCAGCACTCGTACAGTGGTGGAAGTAAGGCGGTGGTGTGTGAAGGGAAGCTGTTTGGTTGGTCTTGCTGCTACGAGTGTTGGGAATAAAGTGCTGGGGATTGTTGGGAAGTTGATCTGAGTTATCTGAGGTGTTTGGTTGGCTGTGAAAGTCATTGGTGTCTTCGTGCGCACATCATCTGTGAGTCTTGGTCTTTGGACTTATCAGTCAGCTGTTGAGCTGTTCTACTAGTCATTCATCTGTGCACAGACTCTAGGAGTCAGGAATTGATTCCAATACAAAAAGAAAATTTTCTTTTTGTATCCACGAACAAAGGAATACAAAAAGACTCTACGATAACATTCCAAGGACAACGAGTTTAAGGGCTCTTGGTCTTTGTGCGTCGAATTGACAACGAGTTTGAAGGCTCTTTAAGTTATACTGTACGCTGTTACTCATTTTTTTTGGAACGGTATTGGTAACTCCAAGTTGACGATCATGAGCATGAGCATGCCAGATCTGCAAGAGGAGTTGAAACGAAGCCATGGTGATGTTCAGGTCGACAAGCTGAAGCATGGGAAGGTTACCTCCAAGGAAAAACTCGAGGACCTGTTCCTTCCTTTCTCAGGTGCCATGAGTCGTTTTCGTCCGAATCTTGGGGCTTGTTTCTTAAAACTGTTGGACTTGTTTCCGATTGACGAGACTGGATCGTTTGTTGGAGAATTTCATGAAATGTGGGAGTCGTCTCCAGAAGGTCTAGAAAAATTCTCTTCGCTGGAGTGGAAGATTCAGGTCACGGCGTTGTTTCTGCATGCTGGGTACATTTGGAAGAATGGGAAGAAATTCAAGGATGCTCTTGAGAAGTTTAAGAAGTTGCGAGGAAAATTCGAGGAGGCAATCGCAGCCAGCGAGGATGTGAATGATGGTGCTTCAGAGGATGGAGAGATGGGTAATCCACTCGATACATCTGTGGTTTTCTCTCCACACAAGTACCAAATATCACCGAGGTTGTTCAGATCCTCAGCTGATCGACAGGAGGTGGAAGTCTTATTTGAGGATATTGCTGAGGTACTTGTCAGCACGAACAGTTATTTTCGAGTTAAGCTAAAGGATGATTTCGACATAGAGTGGCAGATGTCAGGAGGAGGCAACTATCCTTTGGCATTCTTCAAAACTTTGGCACTGGTACGCTGGAATGTAAAGCAACGAAGTGGAGCTGAGCTTATCGAGCTTACTGAGGACGAAGGGAGAGATCAGCTCAGAGCGCTAGCGAAACAGCCACTTGAGTCTGAAGAAGCCTTCTGGAGGAACGTGGACAAAATCAAGCTACTGTTTAAGAATCTCAAGGATAGTATTCAAGGTGTTGTGGGGGCACACCAAAGGATGGGGCCGTTAGAGATCCAGATCGCTGAACTCTTGCATGCCAGGTGTAAAGAATCGACTTGTGAATCGTTGCAGTCATTGGCATTGAATAGAGAATTGCGAAATTGGAAGAAGAGTAATATGAGACCAGAAAAGATTTCTCTCGACGAAATATTCCACTGGGGGCGCATCTTAAAAACTAGAAGCAAGACGACTACGACCGTGACGCCCGCGATGGATGCGAAGGGAGACGTGTCAGTGGTGAATATCACTGTGGCAAGTGAACCGTTGGTACCGAATGAACCGCAGGCTGTCGGAGAAGTTGCAGTGGGCAAGAAGAGATCCTCGGGGTCAGGCGAAAACAGTGGTCAAGCGGATTCGGGAGAGAATTCTCACGTCGATCCCAAATGGTATGGTAATTACCCAGTTCGTGGGAGTATACCTCCATCATATCCTCAAGGTATCATGTTTCCCAGCCAAGACCCGTTTTTCAATTTCTATGCTCAAGGTCAACCCTCTATGTATCCATTTCCTATCCAAGGTCCGGTCGGGAACGTCCCAACGTTTTACCAGGCTTCTGGTCAAGCTCCTTCAGGACCTGGTAGGACGGGACAAGATCAGGCGGCGTTTGACCCTAGCTCATACCGTGGTGGTTTCCCTGGCCGCGGAGGCGAGGGGGACGGCGGACCTAACCATACGGGTTACCGTGGCAGGGGAAGGAGGAATCAGGATGGGTACCATAATGGAGGGAGAGGAAGTTTTAAAGGAGGCTATGGAAGAGGTCAGGGTGGACAGAAAGGACATGGAGGCAAAGGTTGGAAGGGTGGTCGAGGTCATGGAAATTTCAATCACAACCACAACTACAATAACAACAACTACAATCAAAATAATGGCAACTACAAAAATCAGCGGTTTAACCCTCGAGGGGTTGAAAGTGAACAACCGTCATCTGTCTTGCAGAATTTGTTGTCAGGGGGAGTTGTGGACGCTGAAACCACGCGCAAGATGGGGGAAGCGTTGATTCAGGCAGCTCAACGCATGGCAGCGAATGCTTCTTCAAGTTCACACAGTCACCAGCAGAAGGCTGACGCAGACGGCCAGCGGAATGAGTCAGAAAAGAAATCTTCTGTTCCTGCAAATCCATTTGAACGCTCATCGGCCCAGAATGCAACGGAATCTGCATCACAGGCTAATCGAAGGCAAGGAGCGTGGAAAGCAAATTTCACATTTGGTCTCGACTCCACGTCTACCATCGAGGAATTGCAGGAAATTGCATTGCAGGTAAAGGAGAAAGAAGGAGCTGGAGGCCATACGTTCTTGCTGGACTCTGGTGCTAATATCTCCATGGTCAAGGAAGAGTCTATGTTGTTTGATGTCCAAGCTGGACCTGAATTTCAGGTGCTTACCGCTGGAGGTACTGTCGTCTGTGATAAGGTTGGAAAATTACGACTGCAACTGGTTTGTCCAACAACTAACACATGTCTGGACGAGATTATTGTCAACGTTCGCGTATGCCCGCTTGTCCCGATATCGTTGCTTAGCTTGGATGATGTTCTTGGGACTGACTACCACATGTTATCACGGGGCTCCAGGAGTGCCCTAAAGTCTTACATTTGCTCAGAAGATGGTGCATTGAAAATCGATGTATTCCAACGAGATAGGTTGTACTTTTTGCAGACGGTTTTCATGGGAGATGGGAAGATTAGTGTGGCGTGCAACAGTACAACCTCTTGCGCTGGTACGAGCAATGGTGATAATTACAGTGGGGGTCCATCAAGTTTAGTGACTCTCAAGCCAGAGGAGAACATGTGTGAGCAGTCCCGATTGTCAGCTGCGACAGAATCGGCCATCTGGCACCTTCGGCTCGGACATCTGGAAGCAAAGATTCAAAAATTACTAGCCGATTCGGTGAAGTATGTCACGTACGACAGGCGCCTAAAGAAATCTCCTTGTCACACCTGTAGAATAGCAAAGTTCGTCTCACGGCCGATCCATCGACAGTCGGATTTCCGACAGGAGCGGGCATCAGAGGTCAATCAAGTCTGGCATATGGATTTGAAAGACGTAATTGTACAATCCGAGCCTGGTGGTTATAGATATTTCTTGATCATTGTGGACGTCTTTTCGGGATTTGTGCGAGTAAGACCTATGCGCACGAAAAGTCAGACGACTGCTATCCTCAAGGAAATACTGTTACAAGAGGATCGTGACAGCTCTCGTCCTAAGGTACAGAAGATTGTATCTGACAACGGTTCAGAATTCAGCTCTGTGGAGCTGGAGAGCTTTTTCGTTGATCATGGGATACGACATGACAAAATTCCAGAGTACTCTCAGGTCTACAATGCGTTCGCTGAACGTGGAATCAGAAGCGTAATGTCCATTCATCGGACGTTACTACGTCAGAGCGGAGTACCCCGGAGCAAATGGGAATATTCCGTACAGCAGGCAGTTTTACTGTACAACATTCTGCCTAGTGGACGAAATCTAGGGTATTCCTCACCATACTTGATATATACAACAGAGCAGTTTGACTATCGCAAGCTCAAGGTTTTTGGGTGCAGCACCTTCTTCAAGAATGAACTACGCACGTCAAAGGTGGATGATCCAGCAATTCATGGTTTAAATCTGGGAAACGCGTGCGCT